AAGTAAATAAGAAAAAGTTACCCATATTTTGCCTTCCTAATGCCCCATTTACACCAGTAAAACCTGTTTAATGAAACCAGTTTTCACTGATCAAACGTCAGCAACTGGAGGCTGAAATTAGGTTTCAAGTAATCATTAACTTTTATTTCTATTTTATTGTTTATGGAGCTAAATTCGAATTCAACAAAGATCATTTAAAGCAGCTTCTATCAAGAAAACAATTTCAAACCTTTCTTTGATGAATCAGCTTTTTATATGTTATAGCTTTGGTGTGAATGGGTTATAAGATTGTAGCGTCAGATAACTCTGGAATACTAATTTTGATGAAAAAATTTTTTACAGAAATACAAATATTTTTCTATTATTGTTTTTGTAGTAGCTGTTTTTTTTTCTTTCATCTTTTTGTGTAAGTTACCTTTCAACTTAGGTTTCCGTTCAAGACAACCAAAATATCAAAAGTAAAGTGAGCGATCATTTTAAGTCGGAATTAGTCTCTTACTGGTCTTGAATGATTAAAATTAGTAACAAATCACACATGTTCTGATTGAAGGATGAAGCCTTCGTATTGCTCATTCTCCCAGACATGATGACATGTGGCATAGTTAGATTGTTTCTTACTATAAAATAAGACTTTAAAAATACTTGCAATAAAATTTTTTTTAACTCTCGTACAGATATCGGTGTATTTTTCTGGCCATGTGTATTAACCACAAAGAGATGTGTGAAACAGTGGACTTTTTCTTGATACGATACGGTTTTGAGGTTACAAACCCCTTGTGACAAAGACCTAAGAACTCAACATATGAGTTGGAGTGAAGTTTAACGCAACTGTATGAAAACGGAAATCTCACCTCCCTGAATAGAGTGGCGCCCTAATCATTAAACAGAGAGTGGTCAGTTCGCGTCAAAACTTGTAGCACGATGCGGCACGAACCAAAGAATGTGAGAGGACAAGATTACTGTTGGAAATAACCTGATCATCTTTTGTTATGAAATTTAATCTTACGTTACACAGAACTTTCATGATTAATGAATAATTATTTACTAGATAATCAATCATTAAAATAGCTATTAACTGAAAAGTGTGAAAAGTAATGAAGATTGTCTTTTAGTTAACGGTTATTGTACCTTGGGGTTTAACAGGTCAGGATTGAACTTCTAGGCGAGTATCTCAAATGATAATGACTTTTAATCTAGTTTTTTTATTTTATTTTCATAGACATCTTGCTAACAATAAGATCGAAACTATTACAAATTATACTTTCAAGAATTTTAATAATCTGCACGAACTGTAAGTTGAAATACGCTTTTTTTTTAAAATGCTATTTAACTAACGGTACCATTTAATCAATAGAAAAATACTCTAAAACCAGGAGCTCAGTACCCTTCTGACACAACCGTTTCGTGGAACTAGGCTAGTCCATTTAATTACGGTACAGTGGAACCTTTGACCATTGCGCCTTATAAACAAAGTGGCCTTATCAACAAGGTGGCTGTATTACCGGGGCAGGCTCAGTTTGCCTAAGTAAAAGTTAGCGTCAAGAATTACTTCCTTTATCATTGTTTTAATGGAAATAGGGAGGAGTGTTGCTTACTATGTAATGTAAATCGGCTGTTTGATTCGTAAATGACGGAGATAATTGCAATTACATGTCAGAGGCGTTTCGTTTTCTAAATTTGGGGCCAGTGGCGGTAAAGGTTTCTGCTGTTTGGGTTTTTAAAATGGTGTCGTTGGCTGTATTGAAGAGTGACCGCTTTAACGAGGGTCTTTATAAGGAAATGTAGTTTTGCTGGATGACCGTGTTACTTAAATAGCTGGAAGACGGGGTTCCACTGAAGTTCTAATAACATACAGGTTGACATGAGTGACCTATATGCTTGAATAAAAAAATGTCATACAGCTTCAACTGAATAATGCTATCATTGATAGAGTAATAAAAGAATCAAGCGCCACTTTTTTCTTTTTTATCAGCGATATGTCCCAGAACCTTATAAAAAACATTTTCTATGAAACATTGGCTGGACTAAACTCTCTGGAAGAATTGTAAGTTATTGGGGTTGAATTTACTTATTAGCTATGGTTGCTGATGATTTCGATCAATTCCGTATCATTAAGTTCAAGTTAACGTATATCAACTCGCACTCTAGGATAGCCTTTTCACGACAAAATGTTTACACGAAAGGTGCAAAGTTATAGAGAGAGATCATCTGCTGGCAGAATTGCGAAAACATTGGTGTAAAGGTTTTGGTTATTCATTGTTCATCATCAAAATGAAGTTTCATCGTTTGTTTTCTAAGTAGTTTTAGTTCACGAGAGGACCAGGCAAGCGTGACAAATGCCATCTCATCGATTTCTTTCAAACTTTCACTTAGTTTTTAACTCCAGAGTAGTACGGGCTCCTGGCTAGTCCAGAGGGTATTAAAACCCCCACATCAAATCCTAGCGGTAAAAAACTAAAATTAGCTTGAAAAATGCACTTCCAACGAATCTTCCTCTCTCGCACTAACAGAATGCGATTGATTTTTTTTTACAATTTTTTCCAATGCCTGTTTGAACTATTTATATTTGTTGTTTGAACTATATATATTTTCATATATTTGTTAAAATTTCTGCTAATTTAGAGCAGTTACTAATTAACTGTGTCACGCAACTATTCGAAGAAAGCAAAAAATGGACTTTTTTAATTGAAAAAATCTCCGATGGGGAACATTGTATGTTGACGAACATATCACCTCAGGAAAGACCAATTATATTGCTTGTGAGCAAAAAAATAAATCATTTTGGCCTCTAATACATTCGTGATCCCATCCCTCTGAAGTACGGTGACCTCTCACCACTCGCTTGGACAAATTAACGAAAGGTACCAAAACTATACTTTTCTTCTTTTATTCTGTCCTCTTCTATTGTTGCTACTACCTTCTACTACCACACCTTTCAACTTCAGCGAGGAGTGTCCTCTCATTTAATGTAAAAATCACAGACATGTTTGGGTTAGCTGACCGTGGGAATTTCCAAAACAGGATATTCAGTGTGGGTAAAACTCAAGGTCAGTTTTACCAACCCAAACATGACCACCTAGCAAACTAGTTATCATAACAAGCGATTAAAATGTCTAGCACGGTATGAACTGAGCCAAGTTCAAGAAGCACACACTAAAAATAAATGATCAAAACTATAGATCGACCAAAATAGCACGTAGGGGCGAAAAGGCGAGACTTAATAAAACACAAGGTAAACCTAAAAAATACTCGAATTATCAATCCTTGAAAATGCTCTGACATACAAACGCATATTAAGGAGACAGAGACCTTCTAATACACAAACTTTTTCCACCGAGCGTAAATACGGGAATTGTACAAGGTGAAACCCCACGTCTCCTCAGAACGAATTTGCCTCGCTCCACTTTTAGTAAAAACGTGCAAAGTTTCAAAATACGCTTTGAGAATAGAGGAAACCTAGACGAAGGTTTTGAGAAACGTATCTCTGGAGTTATTTCTACAGGAGAGAAAGTTTACTTTAAAACAAAGAAATAGCGCGCGCACAAAAGAAAATATTGCCTTTTGTGACGCAGTCTCATCCGGCTTTGCCAATCCTCAGAGCATACAGATGGGGAAATGAAACCTTAAAACTGACCCTTATCACATCGTAAAGGAAAGTCATTAAGAGATATCCTAATAGAAGCTAAACTTTGAGGGTAGAAGATTTAAAAGCGCTAGTGAATGGTAGGTGACGCACAGGCCTATCAATACCTTTCAACGGTCGACAGCCTTTTGCTTTCCGGCGTGTCGCCTCACGCAAGGCAGAGGCTTTCGTGGATCAAGTGACTCTTTCCATTGCTCTAATTAAACTGTCCTTCATTCAGTGATCAAGATAGTAGATTTACCATACAACACTCGCGATTAGTAAATTTATGTAGATTTAAGTAGATTTATAACACGATTGAGTAAATATAGCAAATGTCCTTGAAGTAGTAACGCAACACGCTAAACTCAACAATGGGCCTATTCGCTACCGTAACAGGTCTCAAACACTATCACTTAAAATGCATAAAAAAAATTTGTACCGTTGGAGAGCGTTTGAGATCGTTTGGTCAGAGCTGTTGAAAAAGGATGAAAGTAGCCATACAAATCTTTGAAAGGCTTCAAACTGCGACGTATAACGAATTTGACCTTCTCGAAAACCGGTCCCAAATTACATGCGAAAAAACAGTGCTTGCGTTTGTCCTTGAGAGCGATAGAATACGCGACAAATACGTACAAAAAATACTTCAACACATTCAGAATATATCAATTTTTTTAAAATAATAATACCTTTATTTACATTCAGCCAATAAAATTATCTAACATTTTTACACAACTTGATTCTAAAGCTAAGCCTAAATACTATGTGAAATCAATCTATAAATTCAATGAACAATGCTCAAAATCTAGCTATAATAATTCTTTAGAAGAATGACTGAAGCTTTCAAACCAAAATAATTCTTAATAACAATCACTTATAAGATCAAGGAAGCTAAAAGAGTGTTTCAGTATTTACATAATTTACATTCAAACATATTTACAATACACTCGATAAACCATGAAACTATATTTATCTATGAGTGAAAGGAAAAAGAAACGGCCTAACTTCTATGGAATGTTCAATCAAAATCTGCCGATTTCTGCCGCTTTTACCGCCATATTGAAAATAACGCTACCACAATGCAATGTAATCGGGGTGCGCACACCGCCTAATAGACAGTCATCAATGTCTAACTTCATCAATGTCTAACTTCGTCAATGTCTAACTTCATCAATGTCTAACTTCATCAATGTCTAACTTCATCAATATCGAACTTCATCAATATCTAACTTCATCAATGTCTAACTTCATCAATATCTAACTTCATCAATGTCTAACTTCATCAATATCGAACTTCATCAATATCTAACTTCATCAATGTCTAACTTCATCATTATCTAACTTCATCAATGTCTAACTTCATCAATGTCTAACTTACCACTGCCGTACTTTATTTTTCCGTCTATACTTGTGGTGGTGTACTTCATGTATGCTCCAGTCAGACTTACGCCATAAGGCTAAGATAATGACAATATAAATTACTTTTAATTCAGAAAGCCGCTAAATAGATCACATCAATCATCTCATCAGTCAACCATTGATGGCTGGGAGTTCAAATGTAATCTCGTAAATTATTGTTTAAATCTACCACTAGAGACATTCTTAATATAACAAACAGGGCTTGGCCATGCATGGAGCTACAGTCATAAAAAAGCAAAAGAATCCAGCCACATATTGATAGTTAGAGGATTAGCAACATTTGGCAGAAGCATTACTTTTAGTGGCTCTTCAAAACTACGCTTGACTTGAATTACGACTCACATTCCCAATAAAACCTTCCTGGGTCTGAGTGTCACGAGAATAAAAAAACTTTGCTCTTGTTCCCTTTCAATTCCACCGCATTGGGCACAATGCGTGGACGTCACTAATTATTCATAACCAATGAGGCAGTAAATTCCAACACGAGCTCCCAAAAGAATGGGCTAAAACTGGCCCATTCTTTGCAGGAACTTCAGAATAAACGCGTCGCTTTTTGATGATTTCAGGTGTTTTTACAATTGGCACCTAAAATAAAGGACATTTGGAAGTAGAAGAGTTATCCTTTTGTACTTGAAAGTACACAAAATTCGGCCATTTTTAAGATCGATTTTCTTACAGCTCTCACTACCCACCAAAACTCAACGCACGGCAAAGAGCAAATTAATATTCCCTCTAACAGACTACTGTCAACAGGAATCACTCGCCCCTACCAACCGTATCAAAAAGTTTGGGAATGGAAGCTCTTTCCGAAGCTTTTTGAAACCGTATGCAAGATGTTGAGGTTTCGTAAGAGTTAAAAGGATCTTCGGACAAGGTTTTCAGTTTACGTTCGAAAAGTCGTCACAGACTTTATGTTGGATAACTCCATCTGATGTCTTTCATGATAGTAAATATATTTTCGCTCTGAAAAGTAAACACTTTAAGCGATTTGACCTTCCGATAAGCGACAATCTGTTCCTACCACGGAAAATCTTTCTTTAGGGTTTGCATGGTCTCAGATAAGATGCCGAACTTTCAGAAGAACTTTTCGAGTTTCGGTGCAGCAGAGTTATGGGTGGTGAAAAATGTTTTTAGATTTGAAAATTTTGAGCGAAATTTAAAAATGTAACGTTTTGGCTGAAAGTCGGGCGCAAACGGCCATTGCGGGCTTTAATATTTTTTCAAACTCATGGGTAGCGTGTGATGAAACGAAACAATAGCACAAAAAATAACTTGCCCTGACAAGAGCTAACACAGTATTCGCAAGATCTCGACCAATAAAAATCACCCGGTGTACGCTTCGCTGCTTGTATTACAGATCTATATTATTTCGCTTCTACAAGTAAACGTCGTGAGAACAATAGGAATCCTGTTCAACTCGAACTGTCTTGGCCGTTCAAAACACTAAAAAAAACTCTTAAGTAGAAACGGCTTTTTTTGCTCGATACAGCTCTGTTGAACTGAACTTGAACCTAACATAGTAATGCAGAAATTTTCAAAGAGGGATCGACCTCAACCATCAACACAATCACAAAATTAAGGGGGAAATAAGTGGTAAGTTTAATTACACCAAAGTTAAAATCAAAAGGTATCTATCCAAGCAGGTCAGTAAAATACAAAAGAGAAGCTTGGAAACTTACCAGGTTTTCATTTTCACAAGAAGTCAACGTTCGGTCTCCTACAACTGATTAAAAACGCTTGGTTAGAAAAGAAGTTCATTTATTTACCACCACCACGGAAACATTTATCAGTAAGGCTGGCGCCAAGAAAACTAGGCTTTCTTTTTCTTCTCTGAAGTAAAAGAAACTTCCCTGTCGAGAGAAAATAATACGTCACTTGCGATGACATATCTTCTCTAAAAGGTAATATACAAGATTCCGTCATTATATTTTTAAAACACGCGACCCCATGAACCGTTCACTTCGTGCCGGCGTTAGAGTCAAGACTTAAACTTTATTGCGAAAGACTACGCAACGAACAGAACAGTGCCATCTTTCCACAAGATATGTGATATGTGGATTGGTTGATTCCATGGCACAACACGTGACAGGCCAAACAGGCCAAATATGATAAAATTGTATTTGTCTTATGTTGAAGCATCCGTGTGTGTCCATGCTTCTTTTCATGTCTTTGCTTTAACTTTTTCACATCTAGTGTTGCTCAGTCAGCTATCTTAGGTGTTCTTCCCAATGTGTTCCCGGAATGTTACAAACAAATTAACAAGGAACTTCTGATATATCAATACAACCAGTTTCTCACTTTAATTGTACAGACTTACCAATAACTTTCAAGAAACAGGCATCACTATAGAGATCACTACGCAGCGTATGGACATAGTACTCTAAGGATTGTGGGTCGTTTTTCATCGGAGACTCAGTCACGCCCATGACTCCAATCTTTCCCTGGAAAAAATACAAAGTTTGATAAAGATATGAGAGCCCAGCGCATGCTCGGACGGGAACTACCTCACATTTCAATTCATTAGCCACTCACGTCCCTAAACCAGTTGGATAATCTGATTTTATTTTTAGTTCTAGATGTCGCCAACAATTATATAAGTGCCAAAGGACCACGTTGTTAAATTCCTCTGAATTCGTAACTTCTCTTTCATAGATCAACTTTTTTCTTATTGGAAAAAAATGGAAAAGGGGAAAGAACGATCAGCTGATTTCCGAGTATTAAAAATGGCACTTTCATACACATTGAAATAAAAATTGAAAAAAATCGAGCCTGTTCAACTGCAAAATAAGGAGATCGTAGCAGATATGTTAAGATTTTGAGAAAATGTACATTTTGTAAACATGTTTTTTAAAATAAAAAATGTTGTGTATTTTCTTAAAAAAAAGGAGATAAAGGACCACAGCAACAAACACGAAAACAAACAAACAAAATTGAGAAGTAAATTTGCTGTCTTCCCTAAAGTGCATAATCTTCCAAAACATTTTGCCACAGTAAAAACAAGACTGCCCAAACACAAAGGCATCCTAAATAGAAACGTTGTAAATTGAGGTGAAAAGTAAAGGCTAGTAGGAAAATGTGTGTAGCAATAGCTGCTTTGTACAACACGACGAAGACATAACGACGAAGACCTTAGAACCACAAAAACTTGAGTTAACATAAAGAAAAAATTAGAATAGAACATCTATATTTACCCTCGCTTTTGTGTTAGTAATTTAGCCTCACTATCGTGTTGGTAATTAGAAAAAAATGTTCATTCTCTTACATTTTCATACAAATCAAAAAACGTGGCTACTACAGCTCCCTCTAAAGTTGGTAACTCCTGCAACCAAAAAGCACAAAAAACATAAACATTATTTAAGGAAATGAATTAGGATGAAAAAAAAAAAAAAAATCACCCACATCGTGGCGTCCTGCCGTCTGTATACGGAAACCACGCTTAAAACGAGCGTTCGATGAAAACAGAAAAGGGGAAAAAAATCAATAAAAGGAAGGCAGATAATATATACTGATTACCTTGCAATGAACATCAAATGTGCGTCTCTTATAGCAAGAGGTATGTGTACTTTCACATGGTACATTTTCCAAAAGGGCTGCAATTCTCTTGAATTTGGTTTTCCTAGTAAGTGTTCGGTGGGACGCAAGATGACGTTAACACAATGCACCATTACTAAAGTGCATGATAGGAATATAACGATGAACAATAATGGTCACGTGGGTGGAGACCCTTTTAACAAAACATGAGCAATCTTTAATAAGTAGAAGCACTTTACTGCTACAAAGGGAGGTCATCTAGGGTACACATGTCAGAGAAACAACATAAATCGAAAAAATGTTGCCTCCAACAACCCCCAGAGGAACTGAATGTTCTATGTTAGAGTGGCCTTAGGTTTCATTACAGAAGCAGTGACAGTATACAGTGTTGATGTACGTAAATACATTGAAGTAATCATGTTAAATTTGCTTTGCAGGGTTCCAGCATGATGGAAAGTCTGAGCATCCTCTTTATCCACCCTGAGAGTTCAAAGGTAGTCATTGTCATTAGCACCTATCCTTCAATCAGAACTCTCCCCCCCCCCACGCCACAGAAGAAACCCTTGGACCCAGGAAAACAAAAATTACTTTGCCATTTTGACTTCTACTATGTGCACTACAACAGCTTCATTTATTTAGGCTCAATTGGCTGTACAAAAAGATTACATACCTGTACGAATGGTCATTAATGGGAATAAAGATGATGTCTGGTTTGATGGTGCAATAAACTGCCATGCAACAGGTCCTCCATCATTTGATAACATCCTCTCCCACTAAATAAATTAAATTTACAACTTTTTAACCTCATTGTGTAATTATATTTAGGGCTTCATCTTTTTGTTATGATGACAGTCACTGTTTTACATGTGTTACAAGTACAGATTAAGCAGCAAATAAAGGTATCTTCAACCCAGATCTACGGTGACTTTGGCGTTTATGAATACCATTGTTACATACCTTGTTACTAGAATACACATAAAGATGACTTTCTTCACAATAATCAGTTGTACAAACAGGCAACAACTGATCAATATTTCCATCTCCATCTCCAAAAACAAGGTAATGTTANGTATGTATGTATGTATATAATTGAATAAAATGTTTGAAAGAAAATTTGCCCTGAGTGGGATTTGAACCCATGTTCCCCCATATACTAGTTGGGTGCGATGACCACTACACCATCAGGACAACCATGCTGGCAACACGGCAATCCAAGATGTGATTTATGTGATCGGAGATGTGGTACCCTGAGAAATTTTACTTTCAAGGCGACAAGGCAGGGGAAGCCTATAACTCCATATGAAACCCAACTAAGGATCAATTACAGGTACAAGACTGAAATCAACTTAGCGGATGACAAAGGAGGATCCAATTACGGATACAGGCTTATTTCAATTAATACAATTTAGAGTTTCCCTCCTATACAGAATTTTTTATATAATTATACAATTATATTATCTACCATTATTAGACATTTTGGTGAGTAAAGGCTGATAGTTTTGAAAGAAACTGTTTGGGGCTGCGTCGGTGGGAGTAACGAAATAATTTGGATATATCAACAAAGTTAAAATGGTAAATTAGCCACCGTAACGATTATAAAAGCTGACATTTCGAGCGTTAGCCCTTCGTCGGAGCGAAAGGGCTAACGCTCGAAACGTCAGCTTTTGTAATCATTACGGTGGCCAATTTACCATTTCAACTTTATTGATATATCCAAATTATTTTGGTGAGTAGTTTTGCCGAGTGTTTTGATAAGCTGTGACATAATCCATAGGGCTTGTCAAAAAACAAACAAAAAGTAAAAATACTCAGCAATGCCACAATGAAAATATAATAATAGGTTAGTTATCATCCAACTGTTTTATTATATGTGCACGATGAGTGAACAATCATGAAACAGGCTTGCAGGGATGAAAGAATTATAGTCTTTGTATTTTTCTACCTCAACACACACATACATATATATCTATAACAAAAAAAAATAATATATGTATTTGACAACAAAAGTAGACCATGCAATTGACCACTTTCATAAATGGCTGCCGGATTAATATTCTTTTGTTCAAATTTAAATTAGCCTTTCTGGCCTCCCTTGAGATAATGTATTCTTTTGAATTTTGTACTGGAGAACAAGGCCAGAAAGGCTAATTTACATTTAAACAAAGGAATATTAATCCGGCAGCCATTTATGAAAGTGGTCTATAATAATAACAATGTAGTACCAGCTGTAAAATCTCCATTGAGATCCAAGAATGCATTGGAGTGTGGTATCATAATTGGTGCAAGCACACTGGAATGACTAGAATTGGTCTGTGGTTGAACTTCAAACCTTCTTTTTGATATAGGTATAATATCGAAGCATCCAATCAACTCCAATTGTATCATTGACTTAAGATAAAAATAGACTTCATATTTTATGCATTGAGTTAAATAATATATCTGAGTCATCAATTCAGTTCTGTGTTATTACTCACAGTTTACAACCAAAACCCCTGCCCTTAAATTCAATAAGGAGTATGTCTATTTGCTTTTAGTCAAACTGTTCAATAAACATGAAACTTAGGTAACTAATTGAACTAACTTGCCATCTACAATTAGACTGCCGCTTAAACTATATTTTTACTGTTTACATGTAGTTCCCCTACACTTAAAAAAAAAAAAAACCATTTCTTTGTACCCTAAGACTTAATTCAAAGTACCTAAAGTATATGTAGTAGCATAAAAACCTGTGGACATTACTAACATATTCAACTGTAATTATAGTCCTGGAAAATCAATTAAGGCTTAATCAGCTTTGCAGCCAACAATAAGCTTAGGTATAGGTAGTAAAAAAAAAACATTACCATACAATGGACATAATATTACCCTTGAGATATCCAGTATGAATGCAAGGAAGAATTTATTGCAATTTCTGTACCAAAAAGGTCTGGCAAGAGATCACCATTGGCGCTAAAATAAAATGAAATTATGTAAT